GGCGATGGGTAGCACCTCATAGCAGGACCTAGAGAGGTGCCAGCCGGGCCCTCCCGCAACCAGGAGACTCGCCAGCTGCACGGGTGTCCCCATGCACCTTCCCTCGGGACACGTCCCTGCTGTGGAGGTCTGTGACGCCGTGTGGTGAAGCCCTGTCTGTGTCTGCCTACAGGTGTTGCTGCGGGCAGGGGCCTTCCTGCCCTTCCGTCTGCCCGGGGGGATCCCGTGTTTGAGCCTGAGGGGCCGGCCCGGAGTAAGTGCTGGGGATGGGTTCCCTTCCAGGAAGGAGCCTTTTGTCCCAGTGTTTCACGCACAGGCCGTGTAGCTAAAGACCGTTCACAAGGCTCACGAGTGCCAAAGAGCAGCCCGGACCTTGGGAGGGCGTCTGAGACCAGAGCAGGGCTCCTGGCTCCTCCAGGCTTGTCCTTCTCCCCACGTGGACAGCAAAGCCCCAGGCTGGCTGGGCTGGAGGCTGCAGCTCGTGTGCCCCCCGCAGTGCCCCGGGGACATCTGTACCCACATGGGGCTGCTCACACACCTGGGAGCTGCAGGGTGCTTGGGAGAGGAGGATCCAGTGAGAGCCCGGTGTGATTCCCCACTGCGCTCAATGCCACTGGAATCTGGAGAAGCCAAGGGAAATGCACAACGGGAGCCGTTTCCATGTGTCTGGTTACAGATGTTCCCATAGGATATGGAGTTCTACCTCCCCACCCGGACTCGGGTTTTGTTTCTCTGGGCAGTCCTGCAGGTGAGTCCTCACTGTTGGTTTATCTTGGGGGGGCCACGTCCCAACCCCAAGGGCAAAGGGCTTCTCCGCAGCTGTGAGAACCCAGGGGTCCAGGACACCTCCCTCACAAACAGGGATATTCCAACAGGTAAATTCCCCTTCTCACCCTCTATGTGCAATTACAGGTGTCCCCGGAGGCAGCGCTACTCCAGCTGCTCGGGCGCTGGAGCCTTTCACTGGGGCTCGAGGAGATTCCAAGAGTAGGTGTTCTATTTTCCTTGCCCTTTTTTCTTTTTTCTTTTCCTTTCTTTTTTTCCTCCTCTCCTCTCCTCTCCTCTCCTCTCCTCTCCTCTCCTCTCCTCTCCTCTCCTCTTTTTTCTTCTCTTTCTCTAGTATTATTTCTGTTTTTTCATTTGTTTGTTTTCTGTTTTCCCATTTCCTTGCTCCCTTGGTGATTCCACAGTGCCCGGTACATATGCCCTCCCTCCAGCATTGAGGTACAGTTAGGAGTGGTGATGGGTCAGGCTATGAAATTAATTGTCCTCTGGTGCCAAGATGCTAAAATCAGTGATTGAAACACCTGGGAATGTCAAATAGTCTGTGATTCCCAAACACGGGATTATCAGTACTGCATTACCCAGTGATGGATGGGGTCTTCTCCTTTCCTCCAGGTCTTGGTGGTGCCAATAAAGAGGAGGCTGCAGAGCACAAAGCTCTTCAAACACACTATTTGATCCTGCCTGGTGCAGTCTCGGGCTCCATGCTCTTTGGGATAGTGATGACTTGTATATGCATTTCCCGCAGGAGGAAGAGGAAGGAGTAAGTTCATTTCTCTGCAATATTCTTTACGTTTTCTGTCTTTTACAACCAAGCACGCGCGGTGACAGCCCTGTGGAGTGCCTGGTGTGCTGTGGGCTGCTGAGGGGTCTGCTCTGAGCTCTCCTAGGTGGTCTCTTCCTTCCAGTGAGGGCTCTTTCCTGAAGCCATTCCCATTTTTGCAGAGGAGGAGGAGCGGCGCCGGGGCCTGCGGCTGCCTCCAAGGAGGAAGAGCCCAGAGCAGAGAGCAGAGCAAAAGCAGGAGGCAAACGAAAGAAGGATGAGCTCGCTATAGAGCGTGACAATGTCAGCAAGAGCCCCAGGCGCCCTGCAGGGCCTCGGCTGAACTGAGTAAAGGACGTGTTGGGCCAGGCTGGCGCAGGCCCTTGGCTCCTTGGATCTCTGTGTCCGAGCGCAGCGCACGGCGCTCACGGCGGGGACGGTGGGTGAGAGGAGCTGCCAGAGCTGCCTCCATCCAGGGCTGCCCTTGTCCCGGCACCCATGCGGTGTCACGGCCTGGGCTGTCCTTAAGGCTTCGTTCATGGAGATACGGATGAGCTCATTGGGGCTGCCTCGGTGAATGCTGCTGGAATGGGCACTGCGGAGCAGGAAGGATGGCCAGGGAGCACGGAATGAGGGGAGTGCTGAGGTGGGAGCAGAGGCTGAGCGGGTAACGCAGTGCTCTTCCACGTGGGGCAAAGCCAGAGAGGGCTGGTTAGGAAAGACAGCAAAAAACGGCTCTGCGGCTCCCAAATCCATGGATCCTCGATGGGCAGCACCCGAGGGCCGAGGCAGCTGGTGGATGTTGTTGCTGGGCCACTCTGCATCAGCTTGGAAAGGGCATGGAGAACAGGAGAGGCACCCGAGGGCTGGGAGAAGCCAGTGTCACGCCAGCCTTCCTAAAAGGGCGAGAAGGAAGCGCAGGCAGCTCCAGTCAGTGTCACCGCCATCCCTGGAAAGGTCCTGGTTGGTTACTCGGTCCAAACACTGTCACATTATAAACACTGCCAGGTGCAGGATTAACCTCTCGCGCTCTCAGAGACGGAGCGTTGTGAGGGAGGTGATGGGGCCGTGCCCGGAGCACAGGGTCTGGATGTGGGACTACGGAAGGGACGGCCGCGTAGGGCTGTGAGGATGACGGGGGCCTGGGGTATCCCTGCTGTGAGGAAAACCTGCCAGGGCTGGGCCTGCTCAGCCTGGGGAAAAAGAGGCTGAGGAGATGTCACCAACCTCTACAAATACCCTCAGGGAAGGTGTCAAGAGGATGGGCCAGAAATTTTCACTGGTGTCCAGAAGCAGGACAAGAGGCGACAGCCTAAACCTGAAAGAGAGGAGGTTTCATCGGAAATGAGGGAAAACCTCCTGCTTGTGAGGGCCGCAGAGCGCTGGAGCAGCCGCCCGGAGAGGTCGTGGAGCCCTTCTGCAGAGATACCTAAAACCTGTTGGGACATGATCCTTCCCCCAAACGAGATGATGCCCATTTAGATGTGTCCAAAGATTCCCTCTTGTGTAGCTGCTGTTTTAGCAATCCACCTTTCTGCTCCCCCATTGCCCTGAGGTGATGGAGGTGAGAAGTCCATGGTGCACCGTTTGAAACAGACCGAGCTTGCACTTCTTTTGTCTTTTTCTTAAAATGTGATCTATTACCAAGTTGTATTTCTCAAAGCAAGGGAAAAGTGGCAAACCGCCTGCTGAAGCCAGCTCCTGTTGATAGACCAGCTGCAGCTCGCGTGGGACACACGGGCTTTAATGCCCTAAACCAAGGAGTATCCTGTGAGAAAGCATTGTGTGCCCTTGTGCAGAAACTACCCACAGAAAGACCGACTCCTCAAATGGAATGGATTTATTCATATAAACACTCATCATCTGTGGGGAAAAAAAAAAAAAAAAAAAGCAAGCTGCACTGGTACAAGTGTTGGCTGCTGTGCACACGGGTTCTTCACATGCTCCCATCCTGGTCCTCCCCTCGCCCTTCGGCAATGGACTCCCCCTGCGCTGGTCCCGCAGAGGAGGCAGAGCAGGAGCTGCCGGAGCAGCCCCCGGTGCTCCCGGTGCCCCCGCACCCCGTCCCGGTGCGTGGGGAGGCTGCCCGCAGCCGGGTTTGGCAATGGGGAATGCGGGTGTCCTGGAAGGGGAACGACACCCTGGGGTGACACAGCCCGCGGCTGCTCCAGCGCGGCCCGCACATCCCAAACCAGGGACCGGGAAACAGGAGGACGTTCCCTTCCTTCCGCCGTCCTTCGCGCCCTTCACGAAGCGGGGCC